AATGATTTAGTCAAAGTTCATCATCAAATCAGCAATCATTTACAGTAGAGCAGTAGTTAGTTTTCGCGACTTCGTTTGCAAATAAAATGTATTTGGTGTATTCACATTTGGTGAAAATATTATAAGCTGGTTATTAATTAAGCAGGCTATCTCTATCCTGAATGTCTTGTAAGTTAATGTTGCATTAGAAAGGTATTGGTGCACAGAATAACCTCGAGTAATGAAACTATTAATTGTGAAGTACCGCAAACTGCTGCTTATACCCTTATAAGCCCTCCCGCTTATAAGCCGCCCCCTCCATCCACCCAGTTTATGGGCCCGTCTACATGTGCCCGTAAACAAAATGTTGTTTCCGATTGTAACCCTCCCTGGATAAAAGCACCCCTCTTGTTTGAAATGAATTCGATTTATTATGTGTTAAAATTTAAATAGAAACCAGTGTAGGAAGTACGTATTTCGATCAACACTGCTGTAGCTCATTTCGAAACGGTTTTTGTTATTCCGCTTATAAGGCCCCTGCCCCCCGGATATAAGCCCCTCCATTTATAAGACAATCCAAACCCCCTACAAAGTTTTATAAGCCCAGGGCTTATAAGTGGCAGTTTACGGTATGCGTATTTCAATAGCTGTTGTGTTGTCTATTTGTTTTTCATGCCCTTAGAAAAGCCAGGCTCCCCAACCATCGCAAAGTTAAACATTCAAGCCACTTCACTGAAAGTAAAATGGACTGCACCAATTGATGATGGAGGGAGTCCTATCACAGCATACCGAGTGGTCATACGAAACAGTAGCGCTGAGATAAAGAATGAGAATAGTACTGACCTTGGAATAACCAGTCTTTCTCTTGGAGGTCTGGAGAGAAATACCACTTACACTGTGAAGGTGTTTGCGAGGAATGCTATGTTTGAGGGACCTGCTGCAGAAAAGCAAGTGAGGACTAAGTATGAAGGTAACAAACTGTGATACTGTCTTGCTATCACGATTTTCATTTTTGGATTAGCAATTGTTGATGAGTCATCTTCAAATGATGTAAGTTACTTCAAATACGTATATAACATACACCCGAAATAAATAATACAGAATAACATTTAAACCAGTGGTAAGGATGACTCGATTTATACTAGAGACGGATCATCCATCTGGGACGAACTTGGGCGAAGAACGGTAGTTTGTCTGATAATTCGACTGTGTATAAATACGGATAAACAAACGGCTCATCGACCGCACGACCTAGTTTTCGTTTTATTTCGTCTGGACGGATGGCTCGTCTGTTTGCGCGTATTT